CAATGACTGAGCGCAGACCAAAAAAAAAAAAAAAAAGATTTGCAGCTATTTGTACCTCGTACAGGTTCCTTTTCTTTCAACAGCTTTTCTCCTCAGGGAATATAAGGTCTCTCCCCAGATTCAGGGGACAGTCTTTATGCAGTAAGATGTACTATGTCTGAAATGCAAACTATGCATTAGAATTTTAATGGATACTCAATAGTATAGGACTATGATTTCTGTAATGACATTTATTTATTTTTTCAATCCCCTTACAGGAGGACTTCAGAACTAAAGTTGAAGATTACATTAAACGCTATGCAAGATGATGATGGGAGGTGGATAGCAAGACCATGAACTGCACCTTAATATGTCCTGAAACCACCACCACCAAAAAAGAGGGGGCTTTTGTCTTGTGTTCATGTTGTTCTGATGAAGAAAACAAGCCTCTTCTCTATGTTAAATGAAAAGTTCATCAATACAGCAAGAAAATGGTGTATTGTTGGTTGAAAAAAGTTGTTTGCTTAACTTTCAACAGTCTCTTTTTGAAATTGTACCATATATCCAGAATTAAGATCTACTTGAGACTAAAGAGAAACCACTATTAAGATCATTTATTCATTTTAAAATTTTCTTAATACCTAGTATGGAATATTTAAGAATGGCAATAAATAAAAGTGGGCCAGAATTGAAATAACATGTCATGCATTGTACTGAGTGCATACATCAGCTCTATCTACTGTCGAAATGCTGTTAAATTTGAAATTGCTGATATTGGTTCATCTTTTATCTACAGTTTTAAATTTGCATTTATTGTGCAGAGCACTTACTGAAACCAAGGCTGTCTGAACACACATAAATACAGTGTATTTCCTTTAAAAAAATAACTATTTTATATGTAAATGTAATGAAAGGTATAATGGTTTTTAAATACCTTTAGATTCTGATGTGGAGAATTGATATTTCAGGCCATTATAAAACAAAATAACCTTAACTTTCTGGTACCAAAGCTTTAGAAGCTAATCCTTGAGATCAAATTAATGCTTACTGCAACTTAACTGTAACACTGTTAGAAGCCAAATCTTTCAGGATAAGCATGGTATATGAAGAACTTTGAATATAACTAGCTCTATTTCACACAAAGTATGTATGAACTGCAAAATCCCATTTGGGTTGAGAGTACACTGTCCAGGTCTGTTTAAAAGCAGATGCCACACATAATATATACTTAATATTTTATCTTAATTCTTTTTGACACAATGACCATTCAAAATAGCGAGAGCCATACCCCTCAAATAATGTTATTTAAGGTTAATTAAATAAGGTTAATTAAATTACTGCCAAAGCCAGAGACAAATGTTTATGTAGTTTCATACACATTGTGTGCATAATATTTCTGCCTCAACTTTTTTTCCATACAGAAGAATCTAATTTAATTTATTAGGTGCTTCTGTGTGTTCTCAATGCAGTAAACCTTCAATTTAATGGTGTCTTTGGGAGAAAGGTGTCTATAAAAGCAGAATGTCTATTAAATCTGAATAGAATTTTACCTATGCATATTTTATGTATTTTAAACAAATGTAAAATTGGAATGGGATTTTATGCATGTATAGAATGGTGAATGGGATTTTATGCATGTTCAGATTTTGATAATTGCATCTGAAGTCTGCTAAATCGAAGTCTGTTAAATCAAAGGTTTACTACGTCATAATACTTTAAACTTTGATAGTGAATTCATTTTAACTACACAATAGATTGTCATCAGTGTAATGCTATTCGGAACAAAGCACCTTGAGATTCCATTAGAATGGAAATAAATACATGACTAAATGTTCATTGCAATTAATGGTGCTTAGAAAATGCTTAATTTGTTCAATAGAAGTTTGTTTCAAAATAAAAATATTTCTTTGAAGTGTGAATTACTCAGAGATTCTGAGAAAAATTACCTGTTGCCTGTCTTTGGGAAATTATTTACAAATGTTCTGAGACAATAATATAGTGGGCAAATAGAAAAGGGCTTGTTTCGAATAGGACAATGTTTACAAAAACATTGTTCCTATTTTGAAGAAAAATAACCACAATTCCAAAACAAGAGTATTGCAAGTTGAACTGTGTAATTAAATACATGAAGAAAAGTTTTTCTCTATGAATATTGCAAAATTCTGATTATTCATAGTATTGCCATCTAGTCATTGCCCAGTATTATTGGGCAATAAACTACCTATATAGAAAGCTGTGTACAGAGAGAGTAGTTGACAGAAGGATGCAGAAAATGATTGGGACAGGGTAGTAGAGATCCTTGGGGAACTCTGGAGCATCTGGGAGATGTTCGGTGTTAGTGTGGTCTCACCAGGAGAGTTGGCTGCATGCAGCTGGGAGGGTTGACTGGAACATAGGCCATTGGGAAAACTGGTGGCCAGGTGCAGCTCGGTTATAGTTACTGGGGGACACCGGAGGATGCTAGGGAGAATGGAGGATACTAAAGAGGCATTGGAGACCAATACAAATCAGAATCGGTGAAAGGATCAAACATGCCAGTTTTGCAAATCACTCAACATTCTATGTCACAAGTCTCTGGATTATGGATGTTTACAAGCTTTGTAATGCTAGTCCTTTAAAACATGCTAATTTTGGATTCTTTAGACTTCATTAGCTCCAGGACTGAACCAGCATTTAAATGTAGCCTCTTCCATTGGAGCTATCAACTTCAGGGATCTCCCACTGGGCTGTAGTCCCTGCTTCTGAATGGACTATGGATTGGGCACTGAGGTTACCCACTCCCCCACACGCACACTGACACTTGTTTTGAGAACCAGAAGGGCAACAAAGCCATGGTGAGGAAAAGGGGAGAAGGTAAGAGAAATAGTTTAGCTGCGGAGGAGATGAAGAAAAGCTGGGTGGTCTTTGCACTAGGAGCAAAAGGCTCAAGAGTAAAAGCGAGAGCATTGAGTTGGGGGACGTAAATATGGTCTTTTGAGCCAACTCAGCACCAGAGACCGAGAAAAACAACGTACTGGAGCATTTGAATCTACTCTTAAGAGTCCTCAATGAAACTCCAGTATAGCAGTTGGAAATGCTGGAGCCTATTGTGCTAGGCCTTTCAGACTGCTGAACTGTAACAGAGTGATCAAGGCACCTCAGGGAAAGGAGGTTGGCTGGGGGTGGGGTGGGAGCAGGGCCGGGGGTAGCACTCGGGCAATTTGCTTGAATTTCTCCTTACTCTTGTGTGAACCATCTTAGGGCTTCCTTTTTTTTTTTTCTGTTCTAGCCATCTGTATTTCTGTAAAGCTGAATAAAATCAATAGAGTCTAATTACTACCAACTCTATACATGAATTAACTTGAAATTTCCTATCATACAGCCTCCTACCTTATGCCCTTCGTCCACTGGCTA